ACCAGATGCTTTTAACCCCTGTGAAGACATCCTAGGATACAGCTTTCTCAGGGTCCTGATCTGGTTCATAAACATCCTCGCCATCGCTGGCAACTTCACTGTGCTCCTCGTCCTCATAACCAGCCACTACAAGCTCACGGTTCCTCGCTTCCTCATGTGCAACCTCTCCTTTGCTGATTTTTGCATGGGGCTTTACTTGCTGCTCATTGCTTCGGTGGACGCTCAGACAAGCGGGCAGTACTACAACCACGCCATAGACTGGCAAACAGGCAGCGGCTGCAGCACTGCTGGCTTTTTTCACTGTGTTTGCAAGTGAGCTCTCTGTGTACACGCTAACAGTGATCACCATAGAAAGGTGGCATACCATCACCTACGCCATGCAGCTGGACCGAAAGCTACGGCTGCGGCACGCTGTGCCCATCATGCTTGGTGGCTGGGTGTTCTCCATCCTGATAGCGGTGCTGCCGCTGCTGGGGGTCAGCAGCTACATGAAGGTCAGCATCTGTTTGCCCATGGATATTGAAACAGGGCTTTCCCAAGCCTACATATTGCTGATCTTAGTGCTCAACGTTGTAGCCTTCATTGTCATTTGTGCTTGTTACATCAAGATATACATCGCTGTGCAGAACCCTGAGCTGATAGCTGCCAATAAGGACACCAAGATTGCCAAGAGAATGGCCGTACTGATCTTCACGGATTTTACCTGCATGGCCCCCATCTCCTTCTTTGCCATATCTGCTGCCTTTAAGGTGCCTCTCATCACAGTGACAAACTCCAAGATTCTGCTGGTTTTATTTTACCCAGTCAATTCCTGCGCAAACCCATTTCTGTATGCAATTTTCACTAAAGCATTCCAAAGAGATTTCTTCCTGCTGATGAGCAAGCTAGGTTGCTGTAAGAGCCGAGCAGAGCTCTGTCGAATGAACTACTTCTCCGCTTACACCTCCAACTGCAAAAATGGCAGCTCAGCCCCAGGCCCCAGTAAAGCCTCACAGGCATTGCTGCTTTTGTCAGCATCAGAGAAGCTGTGCAAAACAAGATGCTCTACAAAGAAAAGCCAGCCAGAGTGCCAGTAGGTGCTGTGCTCTATGGTGCCAGCTGCACCAAGCAGGGATTGTTTCATATCTTGAACACATCATAGTAAATAAAGTTATGAGTCAATACTTCTCACGCAGCATTACTGAAGTTCAAAGCGATGTTTTCCCTTTTCTTCTCTAGCAACAATAGGCACAGAATGAGATTAGTAGGTGAATGAGGTGAAATACTTTTTCAGGGAGAATCAAGGGAGTCGAGGAGTAGTCAAGGTGCTCTTGAGGTTCATGGGTACTGTAGTGACTGCAGATCTGCTTCCCTGAAGCAGTGCCTGTCTGCCACCCACTTTCTTCTCCACTCCCGCCAGCTTTGCTGTCATGTTGGGGGGGGAGAGGGAGGGAGGTTAAAGAAGGAAGCACTAAAGTAGATGCCTCCTGTAGTTCATCAACAGAAGCATCCAATTACACAGCCACCTGGTTAAGAATAGTGTTCACCAAGACAACTGGGCCTGTTGAATCTTTGTTGCTAGCGAAGTCACAGTTTACATTAGAGCTCACTTGGAGCCTAAAAAGTTCACCCACATGCAGCCACATATGATCCAGAAACGGAAAGAAATGCAATAGCAGCAGAATGCCAACTGCTCTACACAGGAGTGTATTTTATGTATCAAACACACCCGCTGTTAAGGGCCCCTATAAGCTCAGCAGCAGGACAGGTACTGCCTTATTTCCTCACCAAGGACAATATAGTGCCCTATTCACATCTGCCCTGTCTCCAGCGTCACTGATACCAATGGCACTAAGGATGCCGTGGTGACTCCTCAGCCCTCACATTCCAACCTCACTCCCAGCAGACAGAGCAGAGTAGTTACTTTGCAGATATGGTGTTTTCCCACTGAAAATTATCATTTTTTTTCACTACACATTTTCTGAGGCTAATGAGATCCAGATTTGTGGCTGCATTCCCAATTTAAGTAACAATTGAGCGTTCCTTTGTTACTGCAGCATAACAAATGGACTTAGTTATTGGCCTCCAGAAAAGCTCATAGTCTTGTGGACAGAAAGGTATACAATAGCCAGGGCCTGCAGATCAAGCCTTTTCACCAGTTACTTTTGACAGGTTGGTTGGATTCACCATCTCTCATGTGAAGAGCAGAGTGTTCAGTCAAACCAATGTTGTAGCTTAAGACTCCTACATGGTGGCAGTTTGTTTCGCAGAATGAAAAGCAAACATATTTTATCCAGGCTCATGATTGAAGTTTTAGAGTATTAGATAACATTCTGTAGATAAAACTTAAAATACCTAAGGACAGATCCTCAGTGGAGCAGTACTTCCTCCTGAACAAATGTAGCCTAACAGGTCCTTGAAAGGGCAGACTGTAGTTGCCAAAACACAGCACTGCAAATTAGATTTGCTTCACACTAATGACAGTGATTTCTTTGTGCTACTGACTGGTTTAGCATTAACTTATAATTGTGTTAGTTAGAAATAACATCTCCAACCTTCCCTAACCTTCTGCTTAATGTCATGCTTTCAATCAGTACAGCAGCTCAGGAACAGGTGACACACACATGGGGAACAAAGCAGGACTGAGAAGCAGAGGAGACTATTAGATCTGTGGTTTAGCAAGCAGTAAGAATTCCAAATGAGACACCTCTTTATAGGTATCAGATCCTGAGCTGAGCAGACAAGGAAACAGGACTGCCGGTAAAAGGAGCTGGGGAAAAACACAAGGCATGACAAAGCTGTGTGTCCAGTAGACACCAAATGATTTACTTACATTGCCGTTCATAAGGGTGAAAAGCTCACTCAACTCAAATGTTCTGCTATACAAAAATGAACAAGTAAATTATTGGTTTAGTGATTTAGATTCACACTAAGCTTCTCATATAAGTTACACGTTAATCTATGTCTTTATTCCTGGTAAGCTTTCTTTTGTAATGTAAGGTTTTAGACAGCTGTTAATTGAAGTATCTTCAGTGGTCACAACTGATATTGTAGACACACCTTGTCGTATCTGCAGTGACACATTTGCTCGACTGCAAACAGTGACAATCAAAAGCATTAGAGCAAAATTTGAACATCAAAAACACTCTGATCTGATCGCTGCTTAAGGCATAGATTAAAGTAATCAGCAAACTGAGCTTACATTTTAATAAGGAACATTTTTTTTCCAGTCTAAAAAAATCCCTAACTTTTGATATTTTGAGTTAGCTTTAAGTGTTCGCATTCAAAGTTGTCTTTGAATTCATTCAAGAACACTTTAAACAAAACATAAAGGCAATTCTTGTGTGCTTCAATGAAAGAAAACGGAAGTCATCCCTAGTGTAGGAGTACAAGACACCCACATACACAGTCCACAGCTCTGGACTGGGAAAATCATCACAGGCGCCCCCAAGGAACATCTCAGCAGTTTTGTAGGAGCCAAAAGATCTGCTGCTAAAATATGCATTTAGCAGCCATTTTCTCGAATGTGTCAAAGGGTCAAAAAAACAGAATGAAAAATATCACCAACCCATAAGTCTTACAAGCAGTTTGGAGAGACAGCAGTATTAAAAATATACCTTGTATTCCAGATGAAAAGTTTCTATAATGAACACACATGGACTACATAGAGTTTGCAGCAAGCTGTGGAAAAAAAAACACATCTCACAGAACATTAAAGCATGAGAAATGTTTCAAGAACAAAATACAAAGGCAGATCAGACTGGTAGTTAGAAGGCATATAATAATTATGAATTAGGACAGCTTACAAGAGAAAAAAAAAAATCATTTCCTACTCCAGTACTTTTATATCATAACTCAGCACCCAAGCACAGATGAACAAACTCTGAAAAGAAACAAGGAGAGGTGAGATGAGGTATCACAAAGGTGCTCATAGCACTGACTCCTCACCTTCATTTAGAAGCAGCCTTTGACGCTGTAACCAGAAAGATGCAGCAGTTCATCTTTCAAACCACCTGCTAATCAGGTGCTCTTTAGCCACTTAATTTTACAGTGACTAGCAAAAAGAGGCTCTGTTCTCAGTAGAATCACTCAGAGAGTGAATGGTACATCCAGTCATGCCCTGTAAATTCATCTTTTCTGTGCTGCGCTCTTCCTGCTTCCAGGCTTGCTTAGCCTGGAGAAGAAAAGGTTCCTGGGAGACTTGTTTTTTTTTTTTTTTTTTTTTTTTTTTTTTAAACTTCCCATACCAGAAGGAGGCCTACAGGAAAGCTGGAGAGGGGCTCTTTGTCAGGGAGTATAGTGACACGATTAGAACGGCTTTAAACTAAGAAGGGGTAGGAAAGAGACATCTGTGTCATTTGCACAATGCTTCATATCATTATGAACAAGGTTTGGTTTTCTTATTTCTTCCCCATATTCCTTCTCTCCAACTTTCTCATTAAGTTTCCTTCTCAAGGCTACAGCATCCCCCCAGAGAGTTGAGAAAACCAGAATCACAGAATGGTCTGGGTTGAAAAGGACCACAATGATCATCTAGCTTCAACTCCCTGCTGTGTGCAGGGTTGCCAACCAGCAGACCAGGCTGCCCAAAACCACATCCAGTCTGGCCTTGAATGCCTCCAGGGATGGGGCATCCACAACCTCCTTGGGCAGCCTGTTCCATTGTCTCATTACTGCCTTCCTTCAGCAGATGCAGCCAGGACAGAGGGTTGCCAGACCTAGTGAGCGATGCTGCCACTGCTCTTCTAACAGATTGATCCCATTCTGAGTCAGCCTGGCATTTAACTTCCAGCGCTGCCCTACAAGAAAGATGAGTTAGCTAGGAGAAAGCTACAGCTATGAAGACATAGGGCCTGGACCTAAGGGCACAGAGCTTTATATTTTTAGAGGAATAAACAGGAAGCTAATGTTTAGTACTGCTGGGAATGCAATGCCCATGGCAGGGTGAGCTATTGTCACATGCATGACTTCTACACATTTCTCTAAAGACAGAAAAAAAACCCCTCACTGCTAGAAGACTATACGAGATGACTTTTTTTTATTATGCACAATTTGCATCATTCACAGCCTACTGGTCTGTAGTCATAGAATGTAGTTGATACATGCAGAACCAAATTTAAATGACTTCACGTCGACAGTGAAAATAAATCACATTCAAATGTTAAAAAAAAAAACCCACACTATTCATTGCATCCCAGCAGACAGAGAAGGTATAGAATAAGCAATAATAGTTTTCATATATTGAGCTCAAGGGTCTTCCACCCATGTTTCCCAACTTGCATATAAAATACCTGCCTGTATGCTGAAGACAAAAAAGGCCACCACAAATTAACAGCAACAAGAAAAAAAAAGCAAGGGAGAAGAAAGGAAGAGGAGAAAAATACTCAGCTGAAACAGCCACAAGTTTCATACTTGCACAGATGTTAAATCTCAGACTCTGAACACAAGTATCTCTCAACTGTGTAGTTTTACATTTCAGGTTATACTCCAGCTCTTATTTAAGAAAAAAAATAAGAAAATTAAACCACAATTTACTTACATACAGTCACTTAGTATTCTATGGCTTTCTTGAATTACTAACAAACACAACATTCTAGTCTTTAAAGCTATTCAGTTCAACAATGCTTTTTGGCTGGAAAAGTAATGAAATAATCAGAAGAGAAAAGATTGTAGTTAACAGTACTATTTTAATTTGCATGTTTTTAACAAAGATTTTACATATTTTAGCTAATTGTATGGGTCTTTATGGCAAAATATAGCAAGTTTAGTTGCTTCACAGATGGCTTGTGAAGGAACAATGCCAGTCTTAACGTACGTACGACAGTCAGGTTTCACCACTCTGCATCTCCAACAGCTTTTGCAAAAACATAGTCTCTACCATCAAAGGACATCACTCCATCTTTTAAGAAGAACTTCCATTTGTTTTTACTTCTATGTATCTGATAACACAAAAAAAAAAATTAGACCATCCATTAAGAAAAGGGTTTTTTAAAGCATAAATTGGTATGCAAAATTCGGATTTATTTTAAAATGGCAGCTCCAAACATGCAAGATACTCTTTGAAAATGCCACAAATACTCAATAAAGGCAGCAGACATGAATTGTTCATCCCAAATTCCTTACCCTCTCCAGAGAATGACTTCCTGAATCTTTTAATTTTCCCATCTCCCTTTGAAAACACTAATTATAAAACAACCCCCTTACCCTCTCACCTACACCAGTAGGGAAAGGAAACTGTGAAAACAGGAAAAAAAGCAATATAACTATTGTACCACTCCCCAATATACTGCACCTTCCGAACAAGTACAGCTTCACTACAATGCAGTCATTTCCTTTTCCCACATGCACGACAAAGCAATACTGCATGCACAAAGGATGGTAAGGTAATGCTAACAACAGAAGGACGTTGCTCAAGAAGCAAAAACTGCCATACAAAACAGCAAGATAGACTTTGCATATTATTTCTTATTAAAGGCCTGCATGAAGATCCATACTACAGAAAGCTTATGTTTGATAGCAAGGAAGGAATTTTAAACATCTCTAAGTTTCCTGTGTTGTAAGCAACAGCTTATCTTCAAATTCAGGACATGGGAGAACAGGAGGAGAAAGGACAGCCATTTTGCTTTTGGCATCCTTTTACAGGTAACAAGATAATTTCATAGGCAACTATGAAAATTCTACTACATGGATAGGTTTTATTAAATCTATGTTGGAAAAGGGGAAGTTACCAACACCTCCCTCAACTTCCCTAACTGCCAATGTCAGTGACATCTGACATTAAATTCCCTATAGACTTATCTAGTGTTGAACTTCATACCAGTTTAAGGAAAAACACCAAACCGATTTTTTCAACTCATTACAGACAAAACTTGCTATAGATGTGAAATCCACTACCTATAGCACTCGTGGTATCAAATTAAGTTACTATGCTTCAAACCTTTGTGTACTGGTATGTCTGCAACAACACAGGCTTGATTTCCAATGGCTTCTCCACACACATCCCTGCAGCTACATCCTTCAAAGTAACTATCTTCAGAAGCTCAATCTGTTACACTTTAGTAAAGACAGTTTTCTTAGCAGCCCACTGTTTCCTAGAACACAGATCCCTTTAAGGCAGAGCTAGCTGAACATACAAGAATTACCACAAGTCTCTTATGAAAGCATAAAAGCCAAGTCAACCTTTGCAAACTATTGGAATCTTATTCCATATTTGCTTTCAAAATAAGATACATACTTTGCTTTGTCAGCCTTTAAGCTATAGACATGTAAATGTCCAAAAGAAACCAAGTACTTCATTTGATCTCTGAGAATTCAAAATAAGGCTAAATCTTCAATATTAAAAATAAAACAGGGCAAAATGGCCCTTAGCAACTGTTTTGTTTTTCAGACAACAAATTCTTGTACTAAAATCTTTCAAGAAGCACTTCAAAGTGAGAACTAGGAACAGTACACACTCTTGTTTTCTGTTATCCATTTCAAAATCTTAATCCATGGCTAAAGTGCAGCCATGCATCCATGGAACTGTTCGTGTTACTTAGAAGTTAAGGAAGCACATAAGCTTTAGCAGGTTTACAAGTCTTAATTTTGAAACATTCGACCTTCTTCTCTTTCCCCCAGTAGGCCCTTATGAAAAATCTGATCATCCTTATTTCAAAAAACAGCACACAAATCTTCAGACTACTGTCAGCTAATCCATCTATTACATTAGTTTTTCTTTAAAAGGCACCAAAAGCAGGCCAGATATGAAGATATTTAAAGCAGGTAAGGGACAAAGATAGAACTACATATCGTACCTTCTCATACTGACAAACTATCACATTGTTGGTGTCAAACAAGTCGGCAATGTCCAGGTCACTGACATCATCAGCAGAATTTAATGGGTCCTAGAGAATAAGACTGCATTTAAGTAGTATTTTATCCGTTCTTGCAAGTTAGCGTTGAATATACTTGACATTATACACAACAAGAACAATGAAGTTTAACACTCAAAGAAAGACTTAGAAGCTATGAAAAATGATGCTGTACAAAGCTCACTTATAAGCATCTTCACGTCTATGTTCTCAAAAACTAAAGCATCCTTCCCCTGAACAACAACAAAAAACAACACATGGCAAAACAAAGTAAAACAAAGCAGAGCTGCTACAGCCAAAGCTGCACCTGGTAACTGGTATACTCATCAAATGATGCATACCCAGCGTTGTGGTTGATGCCCCATTCCTGGAGACATTCAAGGTGAGGCTGGATCAGGCCCTGGGCAACTGACCTAACTGTGGTGTCCCTGTTCGTTGCAGGAGAGTTGGACTAGATGGTCCTCAGACATCCCTTCCAACACGAAGGATTCTAAGATTCTATGATTCTATGATATATTTTAGTTCAGATTCTGCAAGTTAATGCTCTTGTGAATCTCAAGAACACATACACACAACAGCATCTTCTCCAGGGAAACAAATACACTTGTATCACTGTTCTCTATCCAATTCTCTGCAGCTCTCCAGAAGGAAAAATAAAACTATATTACTTTCCTAATTTTACTTAAAACTGAAAGAAGTCAATTCCAGTGAGGGCAGGCTTTCACCAGAGAGTTTTAATTCTGCTAATCAAGTATTTTAACTGATCCAGTAAACATATGACTTCTCAACACCTTTCATTTGTTTGCTATCCTCCTAACAAGCTCTCTAGTAATTCCTCAGCAGCACCTCCTCTTGAGAAGAAGCCCCTAACTATGCACTCTCTGCACTATACTCCACAGGAGCTGTTGTATCCACCTCAAACACTGAGTTACTGGACCTACTTTATTGTAACATCCTTCAGAGGGCTTGAAAGTAAATTACCTCCTCAACAACGTCTGTTTGGGGCTCTTCATTGTCACAGCTGCTACTAGACTCAGAGTTTGAAATACTGTCAGCTTCTTCATCTTCTTCACCCTCCAGAATCTTCAGATTCTCTGATTCAATAATGTCAATGAACTCATTCTCTTCTGTATCTTTTGTATGTAGTACTTCTTTCTTGGGAGAACCATCACAAGTTCCATCTAGCTGAATTATGCCTTCAGTGTCACTGCAGATACCCCTCTCTGACTGTAAATCAGATTCCACCTGCTCAGTAGGTTCCACCTGAAAAGAATAAAAAAGACCAGAGACAGCCTGTGAATTAGCACCACAGCTTTCATTGTTCAATATAAAGCCTAAGATTTTTGTTTAATAAGTGCCCTAAATCTTGTTGCTTTAAGTGGGAGCTTCGAGTCCCAGCCTACTTGTAAACCCCAAGTATGTTTGAAAAACCTTGTTCTTACCTCTACCTCAAATGGAATCAGTGTCAAATATTCCCTTAGTAACATAGAAATACATTTTCTTAGACTTTTCTTTAACACTACTGTAGTCAAACAACTTAAACAACTTCTTCAGAAAAAAAAAAGATATTCATGCTAGCCTCTAGAATTTCTAATGCAAAGAAAATTCCAATAACTTAGAGTATTTCTTATTTAAAAAAAAAAAAAAGCCAAGATGTATTCATCCCTTTCCCTCATTTCAAAATGCATTTTTAAATAAGATATAAAAAGATGAGAGAGTAAATACTTCAGTTCTCAAAGTTACTGCACATAAAAGCATTAGAATTTCTGAACAGGGAACTCACAGGAGTGTAAAAGGGTTTTAAAGTTTCAGTGATCTTTGGTTTCACATTCAATTTTTACTGTAGCACTAAGTTGACATCCACATACAGTTTCTAAATCAAGAAAGTAAGACTACATGTTGACCTTCAGTTCTTTCTCCAGTCTTCACCAACTCGCCCAAGTGTAGATGAGCAAAGTAAGATGCTTTCTGTTTACTGACATTTTTTGTTACTGCCATTCAATTTGTATTTAATAAATTTACCTCAATCTCATATAAACAGTACAACTCAAAGTCAGCACGCCAGCCTGAACTTGCAATATTTGCACATGATTGCTGGAACAAGGAGTAATGAAGTCAGGACAGAGGCTTGTGAAATAAAATCATTTAAGTTTTCCAACACAGCTCTAGCTGGATTTTAGCTTGTCAGGATTTTTCCCCCATGAAAATACATTTCCTTCCTGCAGATTCTCACTTAAGAAATCTGACTTCTTATACTCAGCATGGACTCTCAAAGTAAGTTAATTGCCCTTCATACATTATGACTTAAAATTAAACTCTGTTGACATTCCAAATGCAATTTGACCACAACTGGCCACTCTCCACAAGCAGATTCAGCATCACAAAGACACTGTAGTTCTAAAACCATCATTCACATCTGTTCTGAGGCCAGAAAAGTCTCAAAAATAGTCTATAAATCTATGAATGCACTACAACTAACACACTTCAGTCTTTTAAACTAATATTCTATTCGATCCAATTTTTTTCAGCAGTGGTAACCAAAGTTCTAAATGTAAAAATAAGCAGTCAGCTACTCTGTTCACAACAGGCTCAATAGCAAACTTAAAAATTACACTTTTTGTTATTGTTCAGCTGCTTACAGATGCATCTGATCACACCTCGTTCAAAGCTTGTTCTTCACACAACCATTTACAACAGATGCATTTTCACCAGCTTAGAAATAAAGGCTCCTACCTTGTCTGTGGGAGCCTTGCTATCTTGGTCTTTCAGAGCAGCATTATCATCTAAACTTTTGCCCTTGATAATCAGCTCAATGACATCAGACACCTGCTGTTGCACTGATTCCTGAGGCTTCATGTCTAACTGCCCCTTCACATCTGGCAGCAGCACACTGCCTGGGTCATTTGCCAAGGATTCAGCAGGAGAAAACACTTCAGAGGATCCTGAAGTAAACACAGCTGTATGAAGACGGCTGTACTGGGATTTTTCTGTTAACTCTGCACACTGATTTAACACTGCATTAGTTGCAATCTCCTGCCGACTCACTGCAGGCTGCTGAAACAGCACAGTGTTGGTGGAGTTCTCTGGGTGTTTATTCTGCAAGGCACTCGGCTGAAACACCACAGTTTGTTGGATTTCAGTCTTCTGGGTTTGCAATGTCTCAGCAGTTGCCTGGACAGAAGATGTTCTCACCGGAGCAACACTAGCAACATTTGTTTTCAGAACTGAAGGTTGGCCAATGGGCTGAAACATCTGCTGAAGAGGATGCTGCAGAATACTTGCATCTCCTTGGCCATGTGCAACCATAACAGGCATATTTACTTGATAAAGCTGCCCTACAAAGAGAAGGGTGAAGAACTGCTTCATAAGGTTGAACTACAGAGACAATAGCCAACACCCAGGTGTTTTGGTTTAACCCAGCAGTAGCTAAGCATAACAATCATTCATTCAATCTCCACCTTCCTGGCGGAATGGGGGAAAAATTAGGAAGCAAAAAAAAAAAAAAAAAAAAAAAGTAGAACATGTGGGTTGAGATAAAAACTATTTAATAAGATAATAAAAGGAAGAGGGGAAAAGGATCATAGTTATGATAATTATATATATAAAATAGGTGATGCACAAACAATCACTCATCACCTGCTAATTAAGATGCAGCCACTGCCCAAGCAGCAGCCCACTTGATGAACTTCCCCTTTTTTCCCCCTCCCCAAACGTTCCTTCTGCATGATGCTACGTAGTACAGAACATCTCTTTGACCAGTTTAGGTCAGCTGCCCTGGTTCTGTCCCCTCCATATGGTTTGTCCCTCTAACCACCTTCCTGGCAGGGCAATAGGAGAAGCTGAGAAAACTGAAACATCCTTGCTCTGGGCAGCACTGCTCAGCAACAACCAGAAACATCAGTTTGTTGTTAACATTGATTTTCTCCTAAAACAAAAACGTAGCATCATAGCAGATTCTATGAAGAAAAATAACTCTGTCTCAGCTGAAACTAAGACACCAGGCAAAAAAATAAATAAAGAAAAAAGGAAGCAACAGGAGGTATACAAAGTAGTACTTCCCCAAGCACAGTTTGACCCCCAGTTAAGAGCTTAGAGGCTTTTTCAATCAAAGCTTCCATCTAGATTACCATGCTTAATACCCATTTATGGTATTTATGGTTTGTACCTCCACAGTACCCTATAGAAGCAAACTCAGTAGTTTTAATGACACAGTAAACTGATCCCTATGTACAGGGATAGTTCATTCTTTTAAGGCTCTTTCAGCATCCCCACAAAAAAAAAAAAAAAAAAAAAAAAGGGCACAGAAAGCTTCTAGTTTATCTGTCCTCCCCTTGTATGAAAACCACTCGAAATGCTGAATGCCTTGCTATTATCAGTGTTAGAATTAAGATGCCAGAACCAAGTTCTCAATTCAACTTATACTTGAATTAGACATCTAGTGGCATTATTGCTCAAGGAATGGCTGTTTAAGGAAAAAGTCAACCCATGAAGTTATCTTCCCACTCATCACAACTTAAGCAGTACAAGTAGATTTTGTGCAGCACTACAGATGACTTCATCAGTAAAGGAGAGTGATTAAAAAAAAAAAAGAAAAAAAAAGGGGGTGATGGGTGCTAAGATTTCATTTGAATAAGAAATGAATTCAATTCTGAAACACCAAAACACCATTACTAGTTTAAAACAGAAAGGATGCCTCTCATGCAGAACACAGAGCCAGACTGACAAAGGCATGTATTTGCCCACAGCTGTAAAACAAGCAAACAAAAAAATGGCATCATCTGGCAGCTCATCTTAACTGATGTTACAAGTATACACAACTGACACACCAACTAATCAACATAATTACTTCCTCCATGCAGCAATTACAAGCTACAAAGGAAGAGGAGGATAACTGGCTCTACCCACCTATACTTTAACTTCACATTTATTTTATCTACTGCACTCAGAACCATCTATATCCACATACAGTCAGTGCACTCTGATGTGTTACATCTCCTCTTTAATCTTACCAGATGCTGTCTGCAGAGTCAGTCCAGCTGGTACATGTATGGGATAAGCAACACTGGAAGGGAGAGTAAGAGTTGCACCCTTTTGTGAAGCACCCTAAGAAATGCAAGAAGTTTATTAAGTAACAGCTCATACCTTATTCTCTTATAGGGCCCTAATTGTCACAATTACATGCCCAAAGGAAAAACAAATGACAGCCTTTTTGTAATCACCTTTACTGAAGAGTTGCTTCAGATTTTTGATATATAGGCAGATAGTATTGACTGCAAAGACAATGGCTTGCCCCAAGTTCTTCCAGTTATCATATACTGAAAATTACCAAGCCACCTGCAGACCCTCAGTGAGCACACCATCCACAACAACACCTTTCCACTCAGCCTCTTTTACATAAGCTTATGCACACTGTACAGACTCCTCACCTAGGCCTATGAGAACACTTGATATCATTCTCTTTTCTCCTGGAAAGAAAAGAGTTGGATATGAAGTTCCCTTTCAAACTAGCTGTTCTTGGGAAATGCACATTTTAAATCAGGGAATTCACTTGTTACACAAACATCTTCCCAATATTGTTTGGCAGCTTGGTAAACTCATTAGCTGAAGGCTCAGCAGGCACTCAATACATTCATCATGCTCTGAATGATGATAGGGCATCCTCCCCTGCCCTAACAAGTTCTGCTGTGCCAAGAGGTCAGAGCCTATCACTCCAAAAACATCACTTTCATCCAATTTCTGCACCTCACAGATAATGCAGCTTCCAACTTGACTTTAAACACTCAATAATAAGAAAATTGTTGCACACACGTACATTTTCAGTACTACCAATCCGTGGGCTAAATCTGTGCAGCACGTTTTCCAGCTCATTTCTGGCTCCACTGCTTGTAGAACCAAGTGCTACATCTCCATCCTTTTTCCCCCTGCTTAGACAGAACTGAGCCCTCCCTCCAGGAACTCTTAGCTTTTGTATGGTTTTCCTCAAAAATAAGAGGGCTAGACATGACACACTGAGTTTCTTCAGCTGTGGATTCTCTGCCAATAAGATACCTGTTCCCTTGCCTATCAGTCCACGTTGCACAGATAAAACAGTTATTAGAAATGCTAACTTTTCTGCTCCTAAATAATTGCCCTAAGGCATCTATGCAGGGGAAATGCTTCAAATTTGCCTCCCCACCAGCCTGTTAACAACTGACAAACTTAAATATTTAGAATTCAGAATAATCAAAACAGAAAAGTCACTACAGCTACATACCAGGTCTGCTGCCATGAAATGCTGAAAGCCTCCTCCAGTTGGGATAACTAAAGAAGCTATTAAAAGGGGAAGAAAAAAAAAAAACAAAACCAACAGAATGTCTCAGAAACAGTTGAACATTCAGTTACTTACAGCATGAAGTCCTAAAACTAAAGCAATCTAACTTCAGTTCATACACAGTTAGATCAACAAATAAGCACATCTAGATGAAGCTGCTGGATATACTTCCTTTTACATTGCTTCAAGCTTATGCTGTACTCAGAGCATCAGGTTATACCTTGATATGGGAAACTTGCATTTTATTAAAAGTTTATCCTGGAGATTTTGTTGGAAAGGTATTTCTGTTCAATGAACTTAAGAAGTTGCAGTGTAGAAGCTAAGTGTGCCATTTCTATTTATTAATACAATCAACATGCATAAAATGCACTGCCTTGGCAACATGAAGAAAACGTATAAGTTGTTTTCTGCTCCAGCAAATATCCAATGGTGCTAACAGTAAGATGGGTATATTAAAGCATTAATACTGACTTAAAAGACAAATCAAAGGGAAAACTTTTGCAAACTTCAGGCACAGAAGAATCTATGCATCCCTAACTAGTTTGAAAACACTAATTCAAATCCTACTAAAAAATAGACAACAAAAAAAAGTTCCCTGAATTCAACAGATTTGATTGTGCCTTTCCAAAACATAGGATTACTGAAATTAATTAAATGTAAAGCTTCCAATAACAACAACAAAAAAAAAGCCCAAATCTATTTCCCCTTTAATAATGTGGGATAAATAAAGTATCTGTCTCCAAAAACAGTCCTTTCAAATAAGACTGTAAAAAATAAGCAGATGAAAGGTACCCACCTAACCATGAAAGGTCCTCCACGGACACAAGCACTATGATACATTTTCATTAAACAATCACATATGATCTTTGCTCTTTGTCAAGAAAGGTCCTTGTCCTCTCTCACAGGCCTCAGCTGAGAATTCCATCCTACCATGAGATTACCATACCGGTCAGGTGGCCCACTGAAGCCTTGATCAAGAAGAGTTAAGTCCTGCTGGCTGAGCCTGGGTAAAAGTCACATTCTTCTGTGCATTGCAAATGCTGTTTTTAGCACAATGAAATGTAACCAACTAAAATGACAAACCAAAAACTTGCACTCTGTTTGAGTAAGGGCTTGAATTTTGAGATGTTCAGAACTAGACTCAACTCCAGCTTGACAGAAGAGCTCCAGGGCACAAGCATGTCACATAACCCCCAGCACACATTGTGCCATACATTATAAGGGATGCAAAGTCTTAACACATCCGGTGAATCTGCAACTGAAGCTTTACGTTTCTAGACTAGAGGCAAGAGGACAAAAATTCTCTCTTCATGTTTCCCTGTTAGAAATAAATGGCAGATAAAGTGCATCTAGACATACCTGTACAGCTTTAATCAAAGTTTATTTTTCTCCCTTACTGGTCAAGCTCTGCTTTCAGGGCGAGACATACTGTCCTGTGTTATGCTAGATATACACAAAAGCATGGCAAAGACCATTCCAGCATCTTCAGGTCTTCCAAAAGATACTTAAAACACTGAGCTATACTTAAACTGCATTTGCAGAGTCTGACCTGTTGGAGCCTGCAAAACATGATGAAAATTGTGTGGAACATGTAGAGTTAAGCGTGAAGAATGGTGGCTGTGTTTGAAGAGGCCTTCGGTTGCTTTAGACTGCATAACCTTGGTTTCCCAGAGCTGCAAAGAGAATATTAAAGTCAACTGATATCAGTTTTAAAACCACTTATCTTATTCGTGAATCAGGTATTTCTAGATCTTCCTGAAGTAGAGAATCATAGAACATGCTAAGATAGAAGCTACACAAAAGGATCACTGAGTCCAATTTCAGGCTCTGCATCACCCACAACCCAAACTCTACGTCTCACAGCACTGTCCAAATGCCCCTTGAACTCTGGCAGCTCAGGGCCATGCTCACTGCTCTGGACCACCTGCTCCATGCCCACCACCCTTTGAGGCAGAGCCTTTCCCTAACCCCAAAGCCCTCACCTGACACAGTGCTCAAGGTGAGGCTGCACAGTGGAGTAATCGCTTCCTTCAGCCAACTAGCAGTGCTGTAAACCAGTTTCATACAATAAACATGGCTACAATCACTACTAGATTCTGACTTCCAGAAGCCCAGTACAGTATTTACAGAATATTTATAAATCTAAACTAGAGCAAAAATCGACACACTTTAGAAGACAGAGAAACAGATAACTATACAGTATTTATTAATACATGGAAAACCAACAAACCTCCTTCAGCTTTCTCAAAACCTGTTTATCTACTCCCTCTTCTGCAAAGAGGTCCTGAATACTTTCAATCACATCGTCAATAATGGACTTGTAGAGTTTAGGCTATGCCAAAAGAAAAGAAAAAAAAATTCAAATTAAGATGAACAGTAATATTTGAAGTGATTGCATATAGTCTGACCTGGCCACGTAAACAACTGTTACAAACTGCACAACATGAATCAAGCACTTCAATACAAGTATTCTGCCAGGTGTCTGCAAGGCTACCAAAAACGCATGCCCATTTGTTCCTGTAAGCCTGTATGACCCAAGATCGTCGTCTGAGACAACAGCACGATGCCATACAGTTGCTAAGTTACAGTAATTTTAACTCTTGAGCTATCATTATACTACAGTAGGGCTGTAACACAATGTTTTATTGCTTCATCCCTGCTGTCTTGGAGAGCAGACCAGCTATAACAAGCTTCAAGATGCAGCCATTCAGACCAAAACGGAAGTTAACAAGCTTTGGGCAGCATAAGGCTTACTAATCACAGCAATCCCTACACCTCAACAGCATACTTATACAAGGGGAAAGATGAAGTTAAGGCAGAACTTGCACTAAGCTTTAGGACAAGGACAGCTAATTACTATGCTGTATACTAGGCAACAACTCTATAAAGCAACCAAAAAGTGCAACCATTGCCTTCAAATCAGCAAAAATAAAGCAGTGACCACGAAGAGAGCACCCCTGCCTAGCTCCCTGGCGAACACCCGCCCCACCAGGCCAGGGGCAGCCGCTTCTCCCCATCCCCCCGCTCAAAGGAGCGGCTGCAGCCCCTCACCACAGGGTTGCCGTGCGCCATGGCGGCAGCCTCCCATAACCGCCCCTTCCGCCTTTAAGGCGCCGTTGCCATGGCGACGCGGCCTGCTTGCCGCCGGCCCCACCCGAACGTGGGAGACATGGCGGGATCTGCTTTCTACGAGGGAGGTAGAAAGCCAGGGCTGACTGTGACCAGCCACTGCCATTAGCTCCTCAAAAGTAGGAATTGAGTAGCATCTCCAGTAACGGCTGGCTGGAGTAATTACTGTTTTGTGAAGCTGTGCTGCTCCGCAGTTATTATTTTCGCTGGCCTTTTGGCTCCTGTTGATAGTCTCACGGTAATCGTGGCAGTGTGGACCAATAGCTAAGGCGCCAATGCAAAAGCAGCCAAGAAACTAAAGCTTCTGTCTGAGCCTTTTTGGTGGCCTAAAGCAGGTCATCCTGCTGCTCTTTGTCTCCATTTCCTCGCCTGCAAAAAAGCAGTGCTATTGTAAGATTGCTTCCATTGCCTACTGATGAAAAGTGCACTGGCAAAGCTACAAACTGTTATCAGTGATAGCATCAACTGGAGAAGAAAGTGTTTTAAAGAACTCATGCTTTCCTCTGCTCCCATCGAGCTTCTCTTTTCCTCCCTATCGCTGAAGCAGCACATACATTGCCACGCATTGGGTTTCAGCTGAGCACTGGTTACCAAACCCAAGTTTCTTCTTTCAGCTTTAGAGGGCAAAGACTGACCAACACCTGGACTGTACATGGCACCTGAGGTGCCCAGTTTGGACCCAGAGCTCTAACAGAACCTTAAGGCAGTCAGAAAATCCAGCTTTTGTTCATGGTGGAAAGGAGGCTTAGTTTGGACAAGTATGGTTGCCTCTGTAGTGCAAAAGCATTATCTAGGAAAGCTGGCTACAAAAGCATATTATCTTGCTCTAATAAACTCTGAAGTCATTCTTACCTCATAAGCAGGGAGAAAGCTGAAGCTCTTGGTTCAGTAGCAACAGTCTGGTACAACTGCACAAATTATTGCTTACATTTGCTGCAATCTGTTTGTGTGTTAATACAGAGATTTACCAATTTAGCAGTTACATCTGGAAAAATGTTCATTATAATCATGCATGTAGCAGAGTGTATATTTCTGGTCTTCCTTTGCACACCTTCCATCCACACCTATGTTGGTGTTATTCTCCTGATCCTAAGAACCTAGAAACATCTTTTTTTTTTTTTCCTTTGTCTGTATTTAGGTAGGTATGTAGTGCTGCCTGATTTGTAAAGAGAACACTTGCCCTTAAGCACTGATTTTAAGGCTGGCTTACACAATCTGAAGAACGAAAATATTTCAACGAAAATCCTGACAGACCCTTAATTATAAAGCTAGACTAACACCCACAACATAAAAAAAGAAGCAACATCCATAATCATATTCTAAGTTGCATTTTTACAAGCGAGACAAAGAACAAGTGCTATTTGCTACTGAAGTAATTTTGCTTTGTAACAGAAATGTTTAATGATACTGTCTAGATCTTGAATCAAGTGACAATTGCGTATTCAGCTGTTCTGTACACCCTGCATCAACACTAGAAAAAGGCAAGGCATGTTGCTTTGCTTATAGAATAATTTGAATAATAGAATGTATTTTTAAAGCATAGTGTTCATTTGAAACTGTCTGGGATAGCGCATACCAAGAGAGCCATTATTCTCCTGTCTGATTAGCCCTGTCGTGTTAGCAGAAATAGCAAGAAGCCTTTAGGATCTCACTGGGCCCTGAAGATTGCAGATGGTGATCCTGCAGCTGGCTGCAACTTATTCATGAGACAGATAAACCTGATACATAGCCATCTATCTGCCAGCATTACCATACGGCAGTTTTATAAAGGTGAAAAACGTACTGAAAGAAAAACATTTATAAATGAGTTTCTCGCTTACTACGGTCTTTCATTTATCCAGGGTGTTACAGAGTTCCCTGAACTTGGAACAGTTTGCATATCTGACTTCAAAAAGAGGTGCAGAATGGGCAGATTGGTTCTGGAGGACTTCTCAGCTGTCTCAAATAGAGGCCAGGTTACTTTGGATACAACCACAAGGACATTTGCAGAGCATGGCAAATGAGCTTCACCTGCCCTTCAAGTTAACGGTGTGTTTCTGTGTTTTTATGTGTCTAACAAATTTCACCAGCACAAGACGCTGTAGCCATATCCTGTGTGTTGTAAATACTGTCCTTTATATTGCTGGTAAATGCCAAAGCCCCACCACCAAAGTCAGTGTGTGAATTCCCTTCATGCAGGAACAGCACTCTACACCTACCCATAGCACACAGGTATTGCTTAGGAGAAAGTAAGAATAGAGGGTGAGGATACAACTTTCCAAGACAGACAGAGAGGTTGCAATGGGCATTGCCTGCTAATCAAGGCACTTGGCTATCACCTGAGGTCTGGCTACTACCTGGAAAAATGTCTGTTAGAAATTACCAGAGAAGATACCTTCTCATCAAGTGCTGTGATCAGTGTGTCCACTGGACAAGCATGAAAAAAAGCCTGGTTAATTACATCCTTAAATCTTCTTTGAATAAGAAAATCTATAAAAATATCCAATAATAGCAGTACTTAATACTAATTAGCTACTTTTGATATTGCTGATCTTAACATAGTATCCGTGTCCTGCAACATAAAATGCAAGCCTGTCACGATTTTCATGCTTATGCATTTTCTTAACATTTAACCCCACTCTGTAGTGAAGAAATGCACTAGATATTTTGCCCAACCTCACATGAAGCAGTTGGGAACAGCATCCATGTTTCATCAGTCTTAATTCAGCTTCCAGTCCAGCCCTCCCCACTGCAGTTTCTTTAACAGCTCTCAAGTGTTTTAGAAGCCGGGCTATCAAAAAGATTAGTATGCTGTTCAGATCCTCCTGATTTTTCAGGGTTTTGTCAGCATTTGGGATAGCGATGCTTAAGGGCACCTCAAACATTCATTTACTGGACAGGTTTTAATTTGTAATTATTTATACTCCTCTTGATACGTGGCGTCTAGGGAAGATTTAATTTCGGATGATGAATCTTTATTATTCATTTTAAAAAATGCTGTTTTCCAATGCATTACCACTTGAAACACTGTCAGCAAACTCAGATGCTTGGTAGAGAATGCCCTCTGCTGTTAAAAACCAGTATTGCTGCTGTTGAGGGACATCACCAGCGACTCGTTCTTAAGGTATTGTTTTACAGCTACCATCTCGCTCCTCTTGCCAAGTAAACGTAATCATTCTTAGAAGAAAGTGCTTGCAGAATCTGGGCAGTCCTTATGCAGCAGCCTTGACATGGGCAGAACTATTAATTTCATTTTAAAGATATTATCTAACACGCTGCCTTTGTTTTCAGCTGTTGGTTTAGAGATATGGTGCTCTGGTATCATAACCAGTTTTATTAATAGTGTGGTTTTACTGTGAGCTCCTTCATTCTTTTGGAGATCTGAGACAGATAAAGCTGGGACCTGTGATTCGTTCCTCTCCCATTTATGATGTGTCACTCCTGTTTCCTCATGTGACTCTCCCGTTTTTTTACCTGGTTCAAACCACTTTATCAGAGGAACTGTAGGAAAGGCTTTCTCTGAATTCAATTTAATGATACATTTTCTAGATATTGGGGAGCATAAGAGCTCTGGCCTGTAAAACAGCTGCATAAAAATGGCACTCCTGGTAGACTGAATACACCAAATTGCAGAATACAGCTCTGCTCTTCTAAAACACCCAGAAAGTCATCCAGCATAAGTAATCCTAATTAAGGATGAAATAAGCCTTGCCTTTCCTGAATACTCAACCTCCCATCTTGTATAAAGCTCCAGCCCTGCTCCAAGGCTTCCCAACTCCACTGTGCTGTGTCTAAGAGGTAATTCTTCTAAAAAATTACAGGTCATTTTTAAATTAATTTTACTAATGAAAGAGCTATGAAACAGCTGAACATAGCGCATGCTAGGAAACTGTCCTAAAAATAAACGTTTACGTGTTTTCACCTGCTACAGAGACAGCAGCACAGGATAAGTGGCATGGTTATTTTATACTTCAAGGCAATTCCTTGAAGTGCTGCCCCACAGATCTCTGCCTTACTCATGTATTTCCCCACTGTGACTTCACCCTTCACTATGAATTGCAGCTCATTTCAAGAACAGACTTTGAAATTTCTGAAGGTCTTCAATGATTGTCACTGGGTTACATTCAAACATCCCAGGGAGTTTGGAGAAGCAATGGATAGGAAAAAAAAAAACATTCATTGGCTTACTATTGTTATGTGAATGAGGCAAAAAGCCTGCAGTATATGATCATTAATGGAATATGTAGTTCAGCTTCCTGTGACCAGCATCATTTGAGACTAGGAGTGATATCCCCCACTCATACACACAGTGCAATTCCTTTTTCTAATGAACTGCAGTACTTGCCACTACAAGATCAACCAGTTAATTACAGTAAATGTAAAACAAGCTTGATAAATTTTTAGTGAGGGGACAAGAAACAGCAAGTTTGAAATACAACTTTATTTTTTTAATCAATATGCAATCTACAAAACGTTATTACAAGATCATCAGCCTGATCCGTTTACAGTTAAACTGACAAAAATAAAATTATATTTTCCATTAAGAATAACAGCTCTGCTTCAGAGTTATCAAAATTACAGCTAAGAATTACTAACTGCAGCAGTTAGTTACCGTGTTTAGTCAACAAAAAGACAAATAAATGTGAAATAGAGATGTGGACACCAGTACTGCAGCTGAGAAGTCTGTCAAATAAAATAAATGCAACTAGAAGAAACGTGTGAAAGTACATTTTCAGATGTAGAGTTTTGGGCAATTTATATGGAGCATAAGGATGACCGTGGCTTGGCATCACATTCAATGGAGTGCACCACCACCCTCATTTCTAAGAGCTGCTGCCCAGGGGCAGCCAGAGCATCAGTCCCTGTCACTGCAAGGCTTCAGCTTTGACACCCAGTTACATCTCCTTTCATCTCTTTTGTTCTCTCTTCTGGTTGGAATAAGCATGCGTTGCAGGTTGCTTATTGACCAGCATCAAGAATATTCCACAGTGTTTTCTTTTCCTGCCCATTACAACTATTCATTTCTTTTTCTTTTTGCCACTCCTTTATTCTCACAGACTTTGATGCAGATCCCATTTTGTCAGTTAAAAGACTTCCATCGACTTCAATGGGTGTTTTTGAATCCAAAATTATATCAAGTATTATCTACGATAACACAACTAGTATAAGAAACATTAATGCAAAGACGTTTGTCAGTTTGAGCAAATGCAATACTTTGTAAATAAAGAAGATGCTTTAAAAACAGCTGTTCTCATTGATTTCCATTTAAAATATAAAACATCCCAAGCTCTGCTTCTCTTTTGGGAAGGAAACACAGGTACATCTAAATACTGCCCTGCAGTAAATTTCAGTGAAGTGTACGCATCTGAAGTGAGCAGAACAGTTGGAAGAATTTCAGTGAGTGCAGGTGCTAGCTGCAGGCAGCACGTACACACAAACCCTGCTTCCTTGCACCATGCCAGCGTACCTCATGGGCTATTAAAGGTCCAAGTCCCTCTGCCAGCTGGACACCGAGTACCTCGACATGTTATAGCAACTATTCCCACCCCAGAATACAGTCAGACAATTTACTGCCCAGATTTCTAAACAATAAAGACCAGTATGTTTACTTACCATCAGCTACTATAGCATTCATAGAAAATGATAGCCATTAAGTGTTAAACACTGAGAATATTTGTTCAACTGGTTATATTCAATGGTATCAGAGCACACAGAAGAAATATTAGAAAAGGGAAGCCAGTGTTTCTGCTTTAGATTGTTGCAATAGAAAGGGGAGTTAGAATTTGATGGGGAGAATAAGGTCAACCCAAACTTTCTTTCATTGAACTGCCTTGTATTTTTCAAGTGTTCTGACAGTAAGGCATACAATCACCTGTTTGAGACTGAAGAGGGTAATTTTTCAGCCTTAGAACTTGTTGTGAAAACCATGAATGAAACACTAACTTTCTTTCATTCCATCTTCGTGGAATGGATTCCCTGTGTCCCTGATCCCATTGCTGCTAAAGCGAACACAGTCTGGCAAGCCTTAGATGGAAATTCACAATTGTGCCATGTGGATAAATGTATGGGGCTGCTGAATCACAGCCTGAACCTCTGATAACCACCTGAGGCGAGCACTGAGTCAGCCATGGGAGCACAGGTGAAGACAATTCAGCTGTGCTGCTGCAAGGGGTGGAGCCTGGCTGCTCCTCTCCTAGATCCACGTAAGAGCTGGCTGCCAATAAAAAGGGATAATATAAAGATGACAAAATAGCATCATAGTCTTTTTGCGGCTTTGGCAGTGCAATACCCATAAAAGCCTGCTCCCATGACTTACTACAGAATCTATTACCCATCTCATTCTCAGCTTCCAAACAGGGAGAAAAGTTCATCGTGGTGAACTACGTTCATATTACTTCTGTTTCCTCCAACTGGTAACTTCCTCAGTGCATATCCCACATTTTTCTATTTGGCAGAATAACATTTATCTGTATTTTTACAGTCGTCACATAAGCAGTTACAAGCTGTAGAAAAATATAAAGTGAAACTTTGTGCATTACTGTATTTTTGTTCTCCAGACATGTCTGTTCCAAGTAAGGATTACTTTAGGAAAAAATAAAAACATGCTAAGAATATTTTTTCAATTTGTTGTATTTCTTTTCTTGGAGTGGGGATTACAGCCTGCATAAAATGATTAAGGGAACAATGGCTGTAAGGAAGCGGAGAAACTCTTCCTAAATTACAATGATAGGACATTAATACATTAATAAAGTGTTAGTAGCTATTTGGTGAAGTAACACAGCTTCACTTCCCTTGTAATAGTCTATTCCTGCACTGTTTCCCTCCAGAAAGGCCTTCAGCCAGTGGCATGATGAAACCTCACTTCCCACATATAGGAAGACATGTTCTCTGTCTTGAGGCTCCTTCAAGCAGCAGTGCAGAAGCTCCTGCAGTTTCCAAAGCAATATCTGGACCCTGCATCCTAAAGGAGCAATTGGTAGCAAGTCACCAATTTTTCAATTTGTGAGCAAAGCCCTCTGCTGGTGTAAATTATCAGAGCTTCATCAAATGAAATGGAACTGGGCTGATTTATGCTGGCTGAGGATCTGCCCCCTCGCTTGCTGCAGCAGAGGGAAAAAAAAAGTCTAATGCTGACACAGACAGAAGTGCTGGGAAGGAAATGAGGAATATTACTGCAGGAGAACCTTTCCCATTTTACCAGTGAAATCACCCTGGTTCTAACTCATTAGTTGAAGCTCTCATAGAGAATAATATTACAATTTGTTCTGCTCACATAAATTGTGGAGAACAGAAATATGGAGGATGGAGCATTTCAAGCATCACTAAAAAAATGTAATTGGTCCTGCTGGACTCTACACAGATGCTGGTCTGCATGTAAGAGCCCTGGCAGGTTTTATTGCTGAGTATTATATATCCAAGTGACTCAAACTCTTTGAGTAGTGCCGTTAGGTTTCAATGTGGAATATGAGAGTTCCCAAGTCATAGATATGCAAGAGGAAAAAAATATATTGTGATCAGTCAAATAAGTGCTCATATCTTGCAAACCTTTATAAGCAGACCTTGTCCATCAGTTTTCCCTTGACAGGAACATGACTTGAACACAAGCCAACAGAATGAGCGCCGATTTGCAGAATCAAACCCAAAAGCACTTAAAAATATATTCAGCGACTTCTTTTATGTGAAAGTAGGTCATTGCGCTGTTTCTAACAATAGAATTTCCTGTGTAAATACCCTACAGTGATGCCCGCTGTTCTCTTTCACTGCATCAAGCAGTTGCCAGCCTTATCTGGATCTTCTCCATCAAGCCGAATCCACTTCTTTTCAATTTCAACCTGTAGTCAGAAAACAAAAGGCAGGTAGAATTAGCAAACAACTGAAAGCATGATCTGCAGCAATGGCACAAATAAGATGTTTCCAGACCAACAGATTTCAAAACCACTGCTCCCAAAAATAGCTCACTGAGGAAAAACAAGGCTGCATTTACACTTCTGATCAAAGATGATGTTGCAAAACAGACATTGAATTATTTTTTAATGATTCCTTTGCTTGAAGCCATTATCTCAAGCAAATGAAAGGTTAGAATACCGTATGAAGAGAGTAGGGCAAAGGAAGAAAAGGGAAAAAATTGGAAACGCAGAACTGAAGATACCTGGCAATGGTAAAAAGCTTTCTGAATCACATGCTTCTGGGGCTGCACATCACTCTCTACGCCCAGTGACTTCACTTCTGTCCCTGAGGGACAGGTATCATGAATGACAAACTGCACAGTGGCGAATGGATACCAGTCAGAAGGTATTTCCTGGTCTGATCCTAGCTCCAGTTTGTAGGACAGGCTGTGTGGATGATCTGCACCTTGAGAAAGGAAGTAACAGACAAACAAACAGAAAAAAAAAAAAAAAGCATCAGTTAATTATCTTTTTCTTTGTTTCTAACACATGGTTAATCTGCTGGCAGGAGATCACAGCTCTATCTTTTATTAATGCAAAGCTATTTTGTTGTACATTATCCTATCAACTTTTGCTGCTTGGACATATGGAGGCACCGTACTCACTTTTTTCTCTTCAGCACACTTTTCACTGTAGTTCTACAAATTAATTTACATACAATTTATTAGATCCTCCCAGCTTCTGATTAAGAAGAGAGTAGTAAAAATGACTGCTAAAATCAGACTACAAGGGAAGAATCTGTTTTCACTCAAAAATATATTTCTTACTTTAAATCTCACAGAAAAATGAAAACTGGAAGACCCCAGCTTAGCCAAGACAGAGATGCGTCCCTGTGCCCAACAACTGTGTTTTCCAGAGCTTTCTGCTGTAGGAATTTCACTGGGATGCTAACTGCAAGAAATACAGCTATCTTACGTACCATCATTTATTACTGGAGGTCTATGGTAGGCAGATAAGGGCACAGCTCAAACAAGATGTGGTGTGGCTGCCAGGATACAAGCTGCCTGCACGCCTTTTCTAGTTTTGCTTCTGCTATGGGAAAAGAACATTTCTAGTTCTCCCCAGCGAAGACACTGCAGAAGCAACTGTCCTGTTGTAAAGTGGAAATGGTAAAGGAAACCATTTCTTTCACCTAGTACACAGTAACACCAGGGTGAAAGCTGAGATCGGCAGGACCACTGGGCAGGAAAGCAGTATAACATAATGAAAATAACCCTATCACATCTGCATCGTCAAATTCTTCAGGGCATAAAGAAGCAATTCTGCCTTTCCTTTCTTCTCCAGCATCAGAATAAACAACCAACTTCCATTTGGCTTCAGGCCAAGAAAAGCAAAGAAAGGATTGGTCGTATTTGGTAAAAGATGGGCTTCACACTGTACATTTGGCCTTTATCCATTATACTGACTGGCATCTCAAAGTTTAAGCAAAAAAAAAGTCTCATTCTTTCTTCTACCTGTTCCAGCTATCAATTCTGCACCCAAATGAAGGAAATACTGAAGGCAGAAGTAACATACACCGAGCTTTCTCCATCCCGTGGGAATCATCAACGTAGCACTCCGTACGTAAAGGCCCAACAATGGCCTTTACAACAGCCAGCACTGATGAAGGGAAACCCAATGGAGCAGCACAGGCAGAAAAACCTCCTTGTAGACTTTTCAATCCACCTACAGCCCCAGTCAAGGCACAATGCTTCACATCCCCTGCACACTTAAGAAACAACGATCGCCCCCAAAACTGCGGCCCATGACCAAAAGCAGCAGAGTTGTCATCTCCTTTTTGTGTGACAGGCAATTGCTCAGTTCACTTGTGCACAACCCAAGCTCAGAGTTGTCCATGCAGCCATAAGGCAAGGTTGTTATGGTTGTTAAGTAGGAGACACTGATTGTGACTTGTGCTAAATTTGGTGCTCCTCACATGTGTGAGACATCACTGACACCTTTGAGTACACTATGGCACTGGGTCCTTCACGGCACTAAAGAACGTTGATACCCAGTTTACATAAAGGTCTTAGGCAAAGAAATGCAATGCCAGGGGCATTCAGCACATGGTTAAAGTCTCAGGACAAAAAGACATTATGCAAATAGACAAAACTGTAATTTCAGGTACTTTATTATAGAAATGAAGGAAGGAAGGAACACAGACAGAAACAAGTATTCTAGCTCCTTGAGAAGGAAGCTGGAGGAAGACTAAATAACTGTGAGGAGATGACAGGTGGCTTGTACACAGTGACAGGCAGGTCTGTCTCCCGCTGTGATGTGGGTCTTGTCCATGAATTCTGCTGGTAATCCCTTCCTGTGGCCAAGCACATTTCTCCTGCGCTAGCACTCTCTTGGTCCATAATCACTCTTTCAGTCTGCCCAGACACAACAAAGCAATCTGCTGTTGCGCTAAGCCTTTCCATTCTTCAATCTGCTCTTGTTCCAGCAGTAGTTCTGACAGCAGCACCAACAGTGAAGGAGACCAGAAGTAGCAGTCCATTCCAAAGCTAAATTGCTGGCTGCCAATTTGTATCTGGCACTGCAACCTACCTGAGCTGTCCTCCTCATGATTTCAAGGACCTGCTGAGTCGGGATGTGCTAACTGCTCAACAGCACAGGCATAGAATCCCAGGCAAAATAGCAGTGGCTGCAACACTAAGATGGCAGATCATGTTCTCTCTCAGCCTCTTGAGGCTATGGTTGATAACAATCTGAGGGGAAAGCGTTTGTCTAGCAGCATCTTTTTCGGAGTTCATTTATGATGGAAAGAAAAGAGCATACATCTAGGGCTTTTTGGAAATCAGTTTCTTCCTGGTCTGGGAGGGAGGCCTTTGAAGAAACAAGCAGTAATGGGAGTTGTCTGGAAAAGTACTTTGTCTTCTGAGAATGGCAATCTGTGAAATAACCACTGCTTGAAATTTTTCTGGATGAATAAACGTCTCATGGTAGATGTCCACATGATCTCAGATGAAGATATAAATGGGCTGTTCCTCTTGGAACTAGAGGATGCTAGAGGATCCTCTTTTAGACAAGGCGTAGTTATGGTTCAGATACCACACAGCACTTAAAAATACATCTAGGCTTCTATTCCAGGTAACACAGGCTGTGACAGGCACAGTGCGCTTCATGTGATCTCAGTGCTGGTAGGTTCTGGGGCTCTTTCTTTCTGCTAGGTTGTAGCCTGCAAAAGTAAAGATCACAGTTTTGAGATCTGGTTAAGGCTTCTGCCCCAAGTCCTCTGGAGCAGCATCCACTTTTCCCTTCTACTTACCCCCAAAACACAGGAATTTCCCCAACACCTATTGCAACAACATCAACGCCAGAGGTACTCACCGTTTGTAGACAAGTTCTTCTGCCTGCTGGTGGGCACTGATAGGAGCATCAGCTGTTGGACATGAAGCGATCAACCAGCACAGCACTCAGAAGATGCTGAGCATTGCTTCAGTTTTCACCTACAATTTGCCAGTCCTCATCAGCTCTGCTCCATGAAACTGTTGTTTCCCAGCCTAGTACAACAGTGGAGTTAGAAGAAAGAGAGGCTGTGTGTACAAAACCTTTTTGCAAAAGAAACAGTAATGCTAAATAAATTAGTTGTTGGCCAGAAACAGAGAAAATGGCAAAAACAAGCAGGCACAGGGTAAGCCTGTAAAGTTGCCCAGTGGAAGCTAAGAGAACATGTTATTCAGATGCTTGTCTAGCTGTGCAAAACACGTACTTTCAGGCATCACGGAGACATGGCCATCTGGCCTGCTGGAAACAAATCACTTCTGAAAAGTAACTAGATAATCTGGGGAGAAAAATGGAGCTTTTACTAGCTAACTTAGGACAGAAATCCTGGGTCTGAGGTGATCAGACAACTTGTTACAAGTTTTTTGAACTAAGGGACCTAAATCCTATTTTACATCTGCCAATCTGGTTCTTATCTCCAAAAAATATTCCAAACTATTGCTCCAATCCTCTGAAGAATAACAAACAAAAACAAACAAATGACTGTCCATGAAATGAGATTCAAGCTGTCATCTGGCATTCAGTTAGCACTTCACCAGCTATTATTAATGTAACTTTGCTGTCTTTACTCACGCTACTTAGCACCCAGTCACCCGAGGTAGCATTCAAGCAACCTTGATCTGAGAAAGGCTCATGAATTCAGACAATTCAGGCCATACCAAGGTTCCAAAGAAGACTGGCATTGCAGGAAATACCACAGGCAGAAATTTACATAGCAAGAGATTAAAACACAGCAATTGCAAGTCTAGTGTCTCCCAGGCTCCCCAGGCAACACATGTACATGGCTTCTCCAGTGCAAAGACCAGCCCCAGCGCTGTGCTGAAATCACTGAATGTTCTACATTTCTGTATACAAAGTCCTGCTTTCACAGACAGCAGATTCACTCAATATGCAGCAACTTAATTGGATTAACCTTTCCAAGGCCATGGCTTTTTAACCTTTTGTCAATCTCTGCTAACACTCAGGCTCCCAACTCTCCATTTATACATCTAAATAAGCACAGGCAGCTTTAAAAATCTGCGGTATCTCAGAGCTGACATAGCGTTCGCTTCACCAGCAGTTCTCCACAAAAGCAATTTAGTAGAACCCAGTGAATACTAACGCATTTCAATGTCTATAAATGGAATTACAACATGACTGCAAGCAATCTTTCCCTCTCCCTTCCCCCCTCCCTGCCCCGACCTTTTTTAAGCCCTGAACAAAAGCTTTTTGAAAGCAAAAACCTCGGCATATTTTTTCGTGCTGCAATAAACACATCAGGAATGTTTACATATTTCTATTAGTTCGATTGCCTCAAGATTTTTGGCACACCTTGGGACAGTTCTATTTTTAAAGTCTTCATTGTATACAGAATACTTGATAATAAGCTTTAAAATTTGACTGGGCAGAACTACTGCTGAAATGTTTTCTCAAACACATGAGCATTCCAAGAATACAGATGATTTTGCAGATCTGAGCCAGAGGAATTATTCAGATGTCCAAGGCTTAAAGTACTCCAGAAAAACAATGTAAAGCTGTAGGATGTCACAGAAAGAAGGTTCTTGTTTTCAAACACCAGAAATCTGAGGTTAATTGTGCACATCTAATCTTAAGGTGAACGAACTGCAGGGAATTAAAGACTTAAGAAAACTCATAATCTTCTTTAAAACTGCCTGACTAAAGCTGCTGACTTGACTTTGCAGAAGCTAACACCAAAGGAGTATCAAAAGGAATACTGAAGGAATATTAAAAGTGACCCAAAAAAGTAGTCCTGTAAGACTTGAGAAAACATCCCCCACCCCATTTTTGGTGCTGCATAGAGCCAAGGGTTGGACTCGATGATCCTTAAGGGTCCTTTCCAACTCAGGATGTTCTGCGATTCTATGGTCACTTCCTCTCCAAGCAGTCATTCTGTTGTGGTGGAATCAGGACAAATCATATGGCATTGGCCACAGGTCAAGGCAAAGGAAGAGGAAGAAGTGAGATGGTGTTAACACAGTGTCCTTTCTGGATTTGACCCCTGAAGCATTTGTGTCCTCCCTCCCACTGTTTAGATCAATACAAATGGAAAGGCAAAATTGCTGGAGGTTCAGAAGACCTGAATGCCTAAACATGTACAACACAAAAGGCACCAGCACAGCAACACAATGTCATCAGATAAAACCACTAGTTCTAGTCTGCCAGCAGCCACACAACACTTCATGCTCACAGCCACCACATCAGCGTGTTGATGCAGGATGCTTTGGAATGGTATTGTAGCACTAAAAGCAATCAAGTTCATCTACAGACTGAGGATACTATTCTTATTTCATTTGCTCCTGCTTCAGTTCTTCTGTTGATGAGATATTACAGTCACATAGTAACAATCAGAAGTATTCAAATATAGAACTGTAAATTGAAAAAAATCACACAATTAAGCAACTAAGCAGACTGAACATAATTTACAGTTAGTTAAAATGGAGAAAAAAGTAATCCATTGTAGCATCTTTGCCTTTACTTTTTTTTTTAATTGCTTTGAACATGAAGTCTTGCCTGCTTACACATCTAATTGTCAGGTGATCATGTCAAATTAGTACTAGCATACCTGAAACCAGGTATTTCAAAGACTAAACCTTCTCTGAACATTTTAAAGAGGTAATTAGTCCAGACAGTTAGGATATTACAAGACTAGCCCAATACTATACATATATCCCCTTTTTAAAAGTACAGATTTTGCTCAAAGTTGAGGTAATTGCTTTAATAATCTTACAGATTCCCAAAGTCTCAAACACATACAAATACCTATCCAAGGAAAGTGCCTTCACTCGACAGAGCTTAAAGCAGAACAACACACTCCTCAAGAGTTTGTATACCTTTAGACAATGAGTACTTAAGCCTAGCAATCTCATAATATCATAGAATGGCCTGGGTTGAAAAGGACCACAATGCTCATCCAGTTCCAACCCCCCACCAGACCAGGCTGCCCAGAGCCACATCCAGCCTGGCCTTGAATGCCTGCATGGATGGGGCATCCACAGCCTCCTTGGGCAACCTGTTCCAGTGCATCACCACCCTCTGCGTGAAAAACTTCCTCCTAATATCTAACCTAAAGCTCCCCTGGTTCAGTTTAAAACCATTTCCCCTTGTCCTATCACGAGCCACCCTCATAAGCAGCCGTTCCCCTTCCTGTTCATACGCTCCCTTCAAGCATTGGAAGGCCACAATGAGGTCTCCCCAGAGCCTTCTCTTCTCCAAGCTAAACAAGCCCAGTTCCCTCAACCTTTCCTCATAGGAAAATATATTCCTCTGTCGTCAATATGACAAAAAACAGGAATTTTAAAACCATATCTTTCTATGTTCCTGTGTCTCTAAATTATACTTTTTTTGCAATTAAAGGGAGCCAACTATTTTACTTAGTGAAATATCAACAATTCCCATGACCATGACTATAAATCTAGCTGTCCTTATTGCTACAAGTATCTACTGAGGTATCACCATCAGAGAGCAACCAGAATGAAGTGGGAGGCATTCTTTGGCAGTGCAGCTATTGCCACAAACTCCAGGCTTGAGGTTTACTCAAAATGATGAGATCCACTTTCATGCTACTGTAACCTTATAATTACTGACTCCACTGAATTGGGAAAATGCCCTTAAATAAAAAAATTATGCAGACAAGTGTAAGAGCAATGCAAAAACCATGAGAAGACATGCACCCAAGCCCATCAATTTATAGAGCAAATTATTTACTTGAGTTTTTATCTGGAAGCCTGTCTATCTTCCACACAACAGCCCTGTAGGCACTCTCATATTTTGCCGTTCCAACTGAGACTTGTATTACAGGATCAGATTCGATCTCATGTAAAGAACCAAGGCACGTTCTTCTATTCATTTTTGCTTTTAGGGACTTCTGCCTTTGCAAGTTCATGGTCCAAAGTGCTTTGACCCACTGTGCAGGTACTGGAAAGTGTATCATAACATTTTCACAGCATTTCACAGAGGGCAACCGTGTTGAGATCAGAGCAGTTGAAGACATATTTATAAAAGCTTGAAGTTCTACATATGCCCCCTGAACTACTACCATTGCCTTCAGAGAAAATGGAAGGTCTTCTCCATGATATTGTGTCCTGAAGCGCATTAGCTCCAGCCTACAGGCATCAGGGGGTGTAAACTTGATAATTCGCAATTGCTCAAATTCCTGCATTTTGACGCAGTTGTGGAAATGGCAATCAAGAATATTGATCCATTTCTTCTCCACCTCCTTCTCAAAGTAACGCTCATCCCTCTTCTGGAGTTCCAGGTCGTTTAGAGTTAGAAAGCAGTCCGTACCTCCATTCACAAAACACAAACAATAAACATGTGTGATAACAGCACTTTCTGCAAGCTTTCCTTCTCCTTTAGTGACTTTTCCCCAAAAGTTATCCACTATTTCCAGAGTCATTTCTTGCTCTTCATAATTTCTCCTTTGTTTAGAAGTAGTAGGAAGCTTCATAAGCTCTTCCTCAACTGTTACAAGGAAGTCAGTGAAGTCATTATAATCTGTGGTTCCCAGCTTTAGCATTTGCTCAATCTCTGGCTCATGGATCACTTCTACCTTTGGATGATACCTTCTTTTCTCTGTATAAGATACACACTCAATCTTCACGGTGTGAATTTTTCCTGAAACATTATAGCTCTCTAATTTGGGTTCAGATAGCTTACAGTGTGGCTGAAGCTGGAATTCTTTGAAAGGTTTTTCGAGTCCTTTTTCATAGTACATCTGTAATATTCCTCCAGCTAGGACCCTAAGGTAAATAGGGCCCCATTGCCGAGATGACATCATATTCTTCTTTTCAGGAATCCTCAGCATGAACGGCCATCCATCAGCTTTCCGGCTCCTGAACAGGCTGTGAGGAACAGCTGGGGGATCTTTGTGCCATTCATGAGAACCGGAGATGGGCAGAGCTCCCACAGCATCAGAGCCATCAGTTTGCAGGTGTTCAAGCCTCTCACAGATGTAGCTGAAGGAGCCCTGGTTAAGGCTCTTCTGATCATGGCAAATCTCTTTTTCTTTAGAATGACAAGTGCCCTTATCAAGTACTTTATCCTTCCCGTACACATTAATGTTAGCTGGTGATGTGCTGAGCGAGCATCCTTCCTTCCAAAAGGGACTGGAAAAACCACAGTCGGTCTGGAAGTATGGGAACTGTCCTGCTGCTGATGACTCTTCTGACTTGTCACAGCTTCCTTGCAGACCAGTGTTTCCTTCATCTACTGATTTGGAGAATGAAGTCTTAACTGAACCATCATTAGTCAAAAGAAGGCTGCTGGGTTTCTGCAAGGCTAGGGAAGAGCAAACCCCAGGTGATGGAGGGTTAGCATTTGGCGGCCATTCAGGAATAGGATAAAGGACATGAATCCCGTGCTTCTGGATGCCTGGGTATTCTCTGGTAGGTGTAGTAAGTGGAGAGTTACTGGGTGGGCCAGGACTCAGGTAGAAGTCGACAACAGGAGATGAGAGTAGAGTGCTACCTGTAGAAGATGATCGACTTGAAGATTCATGCACAGTAGAGAGATTGAGTTTCAGTCCATTTGCTTTACAACTGCTCTGATTATGAACCAGTTTCTGAGGTGACTGGAAGAGTGGCTCATCATCAAAGGTAACCCAGTTGGCTGGATTTGTGGAACACATCTTGTAGGAGAAATCTGAAGCACTCGCAGATATATCACCGACAAACCATCTATGAAGAAACAACAGACATGATCTGAAATCAATTCTCTTGAGAGAAAAAAAATGCAAGAAACCCAACCCTTGCAATACTCAAACCACACAAAGCTTAAAAATTACGTGCAGTTTACAAGCCATATAGAGTCATTAAGTGGTTGGGGTTGGAAGGGACCTTTTAGACCATCCAGTCACAACCCCTCTGCTGTTGGCAGGAACACTTCCCACTAGATCAGACTGCCCAAAGTTCCATCCAGCCTGGCCTCAAACACCTCCAGGGATGGAGCAAGCACAACTTCTCCAGGCAGTGCATCACCACCCTCATAAAGAAGAATTTCTTCCTTTCATCCAATCTAGACATATCTTCTTTTAGTTTAAAATCATTGCCTAATCTAACGTATTTTGTGTATTACATGTTTCTGCTCTTGTCATAGACAGTATGATATCCCATAGGTGTCAAGGACCATATAAAAACAATATTTTCTACCGTACAGCTTAGCTGCATAATACAGACAGAGATTTTTCTATACTGTGCCTCTGCTTCAAATGAGGTGCACTCAGAATGGTGCAGCTGTCTCCAAGAACAAATCTGGTGCTACACTGAGCTGAAAAGGCGCACATATTACTGCAGTCATGGTAAAACCAGTCCACCAAGTTAACTCATGCAACGAACAGCCACTGCAAGGCAGACACTCTCACTGTGTTACAGGCACAGGTGACAGCACCCATATGAGCATCTGCAGGCGAGAGGCCACAGAAAGGATGCTGCCAACATCAGAACCAACCCGTGGCTCACAGCCTGCTCCATGCTCATTACCTGAGCTGCCTCCTGGATCTGGGCAGTTATCAGTTCACTTCTTGCACCTCTGGACTCGCACCCTTAGAGATCACGTGTCACAGTGAAGATAGAGAGGGGAGGCAGAAATGCTCAAGAAAGAGCTAGCCGTAAGAGAGCCCTCGTGAGACCTCACCTGCAGCACAGTGTCCAGGCCTGAGGCCCCCAGCACAATGAAGATGAGGAGTTGTTGGAGTGGCTCCAGAGGAGGGCCACAAAGATGTTCAGAGGGCTGAAGCACCTCTCCTATGAAGAAAGGCTGAGAAAGCTGGGCTTGTTCTGCCTGGAGAAGAGAATGCTTTAGGGAGACCTCACTGCATCCAGAGGGGGCTTATGAAAAGGAGGAGACTAATGTTCTATATGGTCTGGTAATGAAAAGACAAGGTGGAATGGTTTTAAATTAAAAGAGAGGAAACTCAGGTTAGACCTTGGGGAAAATTCTACACTCAGAAGGTGGTGAGGCCCTGGCACTGCTGCCCAGAGCTGTGGTGCCCCATCCCTGGAGGTGCCCAAGGCCAGGTTGGATGGGCCCTGGGCAGCCTGAGCTGGTGGGGGGCAGCCCTGCCCACAACAGGGGTTGGGACTGGGTGGGCTGTGAGATCCCTTCAACCTGAGCCATTCTGTGATTCGATGATGGTAGGAACACAATACACCTCTGCTGAAGTGCAGACTAAAAGCCTTCCGCAGAGACGCGATGCTGCCAGTCAAGGCTAAGTAAGTAACAACATATGCTATGTACTGAATTGGCAGGCGTCCTGGAAAAAGCACCAGGCTTCAAATCAATTAATAAAACCACACTTCATCAAACACATTAACTTTGGTAAAGTGCACAGCTAGATGTCCTCTAAGCAGGACTGTAACCAGTATTTACTGGTTATTAATTATGCTTGCCTTTGCTGTTTCAAATAATTCACTGAAATATAAACTCATTGTAGGAGGCATCATCCCCACAGTTCTTCCTCCCCACTGCTCCTGACTTGATGCAGAAGTAAGAAATAAATTGCTGATGACTGCAAAGGAATCCACTACAATGAAGCACCACAGGACCTATATAAACACTGTTCATTTGAGAAACATACTCTTATTGTGTCAGAATGCATTCACATTTGCCTGAAGGCACAAGGAAGGCAGAGTTCATTTACACCAAGCCACCTGCACACGCATTACTCTGTTAATTACGCTTAGATAACGATGGCTTAGAGCCATTCTCCTTCATGTACAAACAGGCTATTTTCTAACTGCAAGGCAAGGATGTGTGCATATAAGCATGTAACCACAAAAGCCATTCCTCATCTGTAGCATTTGGAGAATAGTCTGTTTCTAAAGACAACAAACTTCAGCCAAGTTAAATCTTACGCTACAAGTCATTACTGCTTAAAATCTCTCCCTTATTTCTTGGCTAGTTAATAGCCTTGAAGAAATCAAACTGTGACACGAAGCACTCAATCTACTGCTGAACAAATACATGCTTGGCACAGAGACACTCTGGGCCTTCATTATTTTTCTGACCTCTCGACTTTTTTGTTCAGTAAAAATATTTACGCTATGCCAGTTATTTTATAAGCATTCTCCTGTCTGCAGATAGAGAGGGGGAGGAAAAGAGCAAACAAGTTACAAATGGCTTTCATAGCTCAGACACACAGCTACTACTGTATCCTTCACCCACTCCACCCCTTCATCAAAGTCAAGGGGAAGGAAAATCACAGCCTGTTGCTCTCTGGTTTGGTCGTCACTTTCTCTCCTGTTTCACGCTCCCCTCCTCTGTCCCTTCTGTGGTATTAACGACTGTTTCTACGCAGAGCAAGCTTCAATGCTTTCAGCCTTGCTCCATCTGCATCTGGCATTTACAAAAAGCAAGCGACTGCCAGAGAGAGAAGAGCACAGCTGACAGCAAGCTCTCCTTGCTGCACAGGCTCTGGGAGAGATGCGCAGGCACAGCCTGACGGAAATGACGGCGAGCTCAGCAGGCTGCCAAACCCAGCCTTGCCTCCCACTGCAATGTGCTGGGGGGCAAACCACCAACTACTAAAGCTGCGTGAACAAAAAAGACAAGATTAAGTGGAAACATAAGCAAAGACGAATGCAGTTTACAGGAAAAAAAACATGCGTTTGTGTTTTGCAACCTAATTCCTTCTCACACGACAAATGAAGTTTTTCAGTGCCCTGTAATATTTCCAGATGTTGAGCTATTTCTTTTTCCCAGCTCCTGGTGCTAGTCAGACTTTGTAAAATGTGATGTTGCAGATTGCTGAGTGTTTCTTCCCATTAGAAAATGCACTCATACAGTTGTTTGGAGCATACCTGCCAAAGATTTAACTTCAGTCACTGCACGTCTGTGAGGAAAACACTCAGGTAGATGGAGCTCTCCTCTGCACTGACATCATTCACATTCCTCTCAAAGACTGCAGCTTTCACCTTTTATTACTTTTTCAGAACCAAAAAAAAAAAGGAATACTGTAAAAGAAAACAAACAAAAACCCCAACGCATGCACAAGAAGCAAACGTTGCAATAGAATCAGAATGGCCTGGGTTGAAAAGGACCACAATGCTCATCCAGTTCCAACCCCCTGCTATGTGCAGGGTTGCCAATCACCAGACCAGGCTGCCCAGAGCCACATCCAGCCTGGCCTTGAATGCCTCCATGGATGGGGCATCCACAGCCTCCTTGGGCAGCCTGTTCCAGTGCATCACCACCCTCTGTGTGGAAAAACTTCCTCCTAATATCTAACCTAAAGCTCCCCTGGTTCAGTTTAAAACCATCCCCCCTTGTCCTATCACAAGCCACCCTCGTAAACAGCCATTCCTGCTCCTGTTTATATGCTCCCTTCAAGTACTGAAGGCCACAATGAGGTCTCCCCAGAGCCTTCTTTTCTCCAAGCTAAACAAGCCCAGTTCCCTCAACCCTTCTTCATAGGAGAGGTGCTCCAGCCCTCTGAGCATCTTAGTGCTCCTCCTGTGGACACACTCCAAGATATAGATAGCAGTTCCACTGCTACTGCTCCCTGATCGCCACAACAACCACAAGGAGTGGAGAAAAAAAAATCCAAACAGGTCCTTAAGGGCTATTTTTGTGATGTCATGCTAACACGATGACACGCACCCTCTCCACTGTCACAGGCAGCACCATCCACCAAGCACTTAAACAGCCTTCACAGGCTTACCTACTTTATGCAGTTTGTTCTCTGATGCTGTTACAATAAGTTAATCTTGCCTCTCCAGTTCTAAAAAGTGCTTCAAATTCCTTCTTAAGAATTAGGGCATTCTTCCTTTAAAAGGCAGTAGAGTCAGGATGCAAAACAGATTTGTCTAGGCTCCAAAAAGCTCCCCTGGGATGCATGTAAGCATAACCCAAGCACTTTAGGTTACAGAAAAACAACATGAGACACCATTGATCTCTATGACCACGCATGCTATGCAGCCCATAACATCTGAATTACATGCACGTGTAGCATCTCATTCAGATATGTGACAGGAAATGCCCTTTTTAGAATACTAGGATTACAAACAAAGCAGACAGCTGAAATGACAGTTGATCCTAAATTAGACTCCAGCAAACCCAAAAGCTGAAACTCATTTCAGCTCATCCCATTCTGTCCAAAATCATTCTTGCTATTTATCAGATGAACTCAGTCTCTCAGCATCTAACAAAGGTTGCAGCTTAATTTCTTCATTTTATTACCTCAAGGACATAAGGAAGAGGATTCCTGTACCAATATTGTGAGATTTCACAGGCTGTAGCTATTACCAAGTCCTTTACTGCTTCTAAAATCTCAGATCAAGTTTGCAGCCAAAATACTGCTCAACTCCCGCAATCCGCTGCTGCAGTGCAAGCATAAAACTTGCTTGCTGCAAGGGGCAGCTCAAAGCATTGGCTTTGGTATGTTTCATCCTTGTTCCTCAGCCAGCTGAGGTCAGCAACCTCGTCCAGCTGTGTCTGCGCTGCCCTGATGGACTATGACCCCCATACATCAGCACATGGAAATTACATTTCCAGGAACATCTTCATCCACTCTTTGCACGCTAACTGGAAATATAACACAAAACTCTCCTAGTAAAGCACTGTCCCATAACACCATATGAGTTTGTTGTACAAATATGCAGACAGTTCTTAAAGCATTTTGCCATCAAGTGTAATGGATTCACGGAGAGGTACAAATTCTCTGCAGATTAAGCAATAACAC